ATACATGTGAGGTTTGACGGCAAAAGAGTTTTTCCTTCAAAGTATGAATATTTTAATTATATTAGAGACAAGATTTTTAGGTAAAAAAAATTACCTTAGAACTTTAACAACCATGAGAGGTTTGACGGTAAAGAGTTTTTTCTTCAGTAGACTTTGGTGGCTAGGGTTTCTTATTTTACTTAAGATATTGTGCTTTTTAGTCTAATAATGAATTGCTGCCAATTAAAAATTCGCCTCCCATCCCAAATTTTAGGCGTCAATATCAAATGAAATTAAAAACTTGTTTCCTTACCATTATTTTAGATGCGAGTATTTGATGAATATTTTTTACATATATTCTCTTAATTTTCTAATTTATTAAAAACAAATAATAAATTATTAATTATAACAAAATAGAAAGAGTTTTTTTAAAATTTATTAAAAACAAATAATTCTTAATAATGTTTTTTTTTTTTTTTTTATGTTTAGAAAGAGTCACTAACCACTGTCACCATTCTTCAGTTCTTTCACGAAAATGTTAAGCACAAGGCAGAGATTTTTTGAAGGTTAATAAAAAAACAAGCTAGAGAAAGTAGAAAATGTGAAGAAGGGAGGCTGGTGACAGAGAGCGTGGATCGCTCACTTCACTTTTATGGGGCATCGATATTTGATAGAGAAACGAGTAGACCTAGTCTTGGGTCACTGCTCGACATAATCTTCGCAATGAATTTGACCCATTCTGCACGGAATTGTTACTGCTAGACATGGAAATGTCCTAATAATACAAAATTAAAGGGACTGAAATGAAATTCCGGTAGACTTTGAGCCCATGCATCTCAGTCACAATTGACAAAGCCACATCCATCCATGAATGTTCAACAGAAAAAACAAATAGGTGGCTTTTTCTGTGTGGTCCTTAACCATGGATTTTCCAAAGGAAGAGTTGAACCGTTGTGAAAGGGCTAATTTTTTTGTCATTAGAAGAGGAAACAAGGTCTGCTCTGCTCTTACCTTCTAACCCTGTCTAGTGAAGTAGTAGCATTGCTCTATGAGTCCTTTTCATCGAAGCCAAATTTTCAATGAAAAATAAATTTATTAAATAAAAACTAAGTCTACGATTTTAATTTAACTTTTTTATTTGTAAGATTTATATTTAATGCATGATAAAATATTATACATCATCAATGTATTATAAGTTGTCACACCATTAATTTATTTCAATATAATTAAATATTTCAAATTTAAAAATATTTAATTTTAAAGATTCTAAAATTTTAATTTTAATAATTACATGGCAGTTTGTGATGTACTTACAGTATACAATACTAAATAGTGATGATGCATCAAATATTAATCCTTATTTATAAATAAATAATTCATTTTGTTATTCATCAAAGCTTTTTTTTTTAATTTATAAAATTGCTCAAAAAGGTTGTTTTCTTCAATACCAAAATGCACTTGTTATTACTCATTTTCAAAAGTAAAAATATTAAAGTTGTTCATTAGTAAAAAAAAAAAATTACTATTTATCACTTGTCAGTGTAATATGCCATAATATATAGATCCGTAAATCTATAGCTAGACTTAACAAATTGATGAAGTCATCATAAATCTTTTTTAATTAAGTGTGATTGATTACTTAAGGAATCTATCCATTTAAGGAGTTCCTAAGCTTAACGAAAGATTCTTAAAAAAATAAGTTTGGGTCACAAATTAGAATAGAGTTCGAGAATTTAGTTAAATGTGGAGAAGGTTATAGCACCCCCACATACCCATTCAAAAAATGATACCATATTATTTAAAATTTATCTTATGTTCTTGAGTCTAATGGTTTCAAACTTTTATGCTAAATATTAAAAATAATTTATAAGATTCTTTCATCAATCTGGTATAATTCTTTAAAATATTTTCTCACCTTAAAAGTATTCAAGAATTTCATTTGATTTCTTGAAGAGACTCCATCGTCGAAAAATTTAACTTTTTTTTATTTCTTTTTTGTTGAAAATATATCTAATTATTCCACCATTTTGATCAAATTAAAAATATTTTTTTGTTTTGAATTTCTAAATTTTCCACCATTTGGGCTTATTTAAAATTTTTTTATTATTTTATTATTTTTTTCTTTCAAAAAGAAAATAATATGACAATTATTTTTTTATTGAAATCTCATTTAAATTCTTTCACCATTTGGGACAAATTTAAAGAAATTTCTCACCTAGAGATTTTTTAAAAATTTAATATTTGAATTATCTAAGAATATCATCATTGAATAATTATCACTTATTTTCAACTAAAATTTTATTTCGAAAAGAATACAATTACTTGTGTTGAAATTTCATTTAAATTATTTTATCATTTGAAACAAATTTAGAGGAAGTTTCTTACCTAGAGATTTTTTAAGAATTTACCATTTGAAATTTCTAATAATCTCATCCTTGGGTAATTTGTATTTAATTCCAAATTTTTATATTTTAATTTTCTATTATATTTTTGTTGAAAAATAAATATTAATTATTGTTATTGAAACTTTATCTAAATTATTCCATCATTTGAGAGAAATTTAGATAAAATTTCTCACCTATTTAAAATTTTTATAAATTTCATCATTGGATAATTAATATTTATTCCCAAATTTTATTTTTTATTTTTTATTTTTTCTAAATTTAATCATGAAAGAAAAAGAAAGAAAAAAATACTAAGAAAAAAATAAGAAAAATACTAAATAAATAAATAAATACCAAAGGAAAACCAAAAAATGGCTTAGCTAGCGGTTGGAATTTGGCTCAGCTACAAATACAAGAAAAGGCTAGAACGACGCAGCTCGGGACACCGCTCGCGACTCGACTCGGCTTGAGTCAAAAGTTAGAGACAGGTCAAAAGGCGGGTTGCCCTTCGGGTCAGATCATCTTGTGATAAAACGCGCAGATTCTAGGTTGAATTAAAACACCAAAATAACGCCATTTTGGAGCCACTATAAAAGGCTAAATCTTAACCTTTTTTTTAGATTTCATTTTTTTCTCTCTCTTCCCCTTTCTTTTCTCTCTCTCTTTTTCTAGAATCAAATGAATTCTTATTGAATCTTCGTCAGATTCTAAAAAACGTTGTCGAAATTTAAGTTGATTCATAGGAAGTTCTTCAAAAAATTCAATCGATGCTAGAATCTGTGTCGGATTCTAAAAAATCTACCAAAAAATTCAACCAACATCGAAAAACTCATCCAAAAATTCAACTAGTGGAAAAAAATTTCACCAGAATCTAAATTTTCCAAAAAATTTCCAAAAAAAAAAATTTTTTTCTAAAAAAACTTTGAAATTTTTTTTATCTCTGCTTGTTGTGTTTCTGTGTTTCTTCTGTGACTGGCTTCTATCTTTCTCAACACTTTTTTTTTGCTTCTGTTTTTCTGTGATTTTCTGTGCGATCTTTTCTATGCTGTTGTGTTTCTATTTCTGTGTGGTTGTCTATTTATAGAACCAGATCAGAATAATTTTTTATCAAATTAGGAGTCCCCTTTTTGATTGGATTTCCACATCATCAGAAAGCTTGAAAATTATCCTAGAGAGATTAAAACCAATTGCAATTCTGCCAATGCCTATGCACGACAAAATTTGCATTTTTTTCTCTTTTTTTAAAAATAATATCCTATTATCTTAAAATAAAATAAATAATAAAACTCAAAAATAAAATAAAATAATAAAAAGTCAAATAGAAATAAAATAAAATAACAAATAATTGGGCCTAACTATTTGGCCTTATTGAATTGGGCCCCAATGGCTTAGGCCCAAATCTTGTTGGACCAGGCTCAATGAGCTTAGACTCAAACCAATTAGGATGTCTATATAACAAATTAATTTTTTATAAAGTTGAAATTTTTTTAGTTTATATTCAATATGTTGCCAATGTATAAGTTTTACATACTGTCTGTAAATCAAAAGATGTTGCCCCATTAATGACCAAACATAAAGATAAATACATAAATACATAAATTTTTTAAAAAGCTTTCATTAACGAGTTTGTATCATTTATTTTACTGATAATGTTTAGAATATACTAATAATGCATCAAAATATATATATATATATATATTAAATTCATGGTTTTGATCCATTCGGAGCTCGAAAAAATTTGAGCAGGTCAAGTTGAAGTTTCAATACTTGAAAAGTAAACATGCTAAAGTATAACAAAAGACCCAAAAAATTCATATAAATTAATTCTAAATTAACATTTTTTATTTAAAATCATCAAAATTTAAACTTTAATCAGAGTTTAATGTTTTACCAATAAACTGCTCATATGTTAGTCTAAAATAATAATCTTTACGTTAGTATCTTATGGAAGCATTTATTTTTAAACTTAATCTTAGAGTTAAATGAAAGTATATAAGTATCTAACCATTCAATAATAATAAGAATTATTATTATTAGTTCAGGTAGGACCAAGTCATCTAGACTTGAATACATTGCCTAAAATGGGCCGCGCATATATATTGGCTTAATTTAGTTGGGTTGCCCGACCTATCCATCAGAAGGGAAAAAGAAAACAATTATTCCTTATTTTCATATATTGTTGTGGAATTTCCTCTCAATCACTGCCCATATGTAGTTGTAAACTTTTAATTAATAAAATTGAACCCTTGTAAATATCTGTAATATTCCCGATATCTTTTGCTTTCTTATGATGTTCTGATTACTACCTTTCCTTTTCCTTTGTTTGCATAAAGTCAACCTACTTTACGCCTCAGTACTATTGATTATTGCTTCATTTGGATCATTGGCTGCGTAATGAAAGAGATTTATATAGCGCTGTAAGCTTCGTGTCCAAATAAGCGTATGCACCCAAATCAAGAATCGGGATCATAACAAGGTCATATGTTGGACGACTAGAGTAACTAGTATGAGCTAGAAGTTAATTATTGTCTGCATGACTAATTCATTACGCGTTAACTGTTTGAAAAATTCCTTGTCATCATATACGTTAGAGCGAGCAGAGAATTGTAATTAATACGCTTCATTACGTTGTAAGAAGCGAAAAATGCTTAGTTCAGGGAGATAATGCTAGTGTCCCAGGATACGGAAATTAATTCAGATATTGTTTATTGATCACATGCGACGCAGTACAACTGGAGGCAGAAAAGAAAGCATTATAACTACTTTACACTTGAAAGAATAAGAGAAGACTCAAAAAGAGAGAAATAAACATAAGACAAAAAAGATCTCCAATTTAGGGAGATAATCAGGTGAACTTCAATATTATTGTAGCAGTTTTGGTGTTCAGATGCATATTCATCTAGTTGACAGCGCTACAAATCCTCCTTATTATCCCAGCTGAACCTGTTAGAGGTTCGATATCTCCCATTTTGATCATGGCAGATGCGAAATCAGAGCTGAAAGTTGAAGGATCCCTGCTATACTCGTTGACAATGCTATCTGTGGATCCACCGCTAAACAGGACCTGATCCGACTGGAGAAGACCTTTCTTTTGCAACAGGTTCTTGAAGTAGTTGTTGTCAAAGGAATTAGGAGTCACCAGATCAAGTGGTGCCAAATTTCCATTACCATTGGGAGAAGTAGCCGGACAATTGCGTCTACGTGTGCTAGCAAATCCAGCATCGATGTCACTTGCATTGTTGTATATCCTATCCCGGAATGTAACACATTGAGCTTGTCCTATTGTATGAGAACCTGAACATGAATGGTTTAAGTTAAGCTCAATTATCAGTGATTGTTTGCAAGGAAAATGAAGTGTTTTTTAAATTTTGTTGAAAAATAACTTGTGCACAAACCTGACAAAGCAACCATGTCTCTTTCATTAAGGCCCTTGCTTCCAAAGAGACGAATAAGGTTTTGAAGGCTGTCTGAGAAACGAGGAAGTTGACTGCTAGCCAGACTTGCGCTAGCAGTGGTAGAATCTCTCCTTCCAAGCTTCACTTTCCAAGATGGGCCACCTACCTGATAAGTTGTTTCAAGAGAATTTAATCAATTTGAATATTTATTAAATATAGGGAAGTAGAGTTCACAATTAGTGAGATATCTATAAATCTCAGAAGGTAGGTTTTATGTCTATTCAGCGATGACTCACGTATTCAGATGCATCCCTGGCTGCAACTGCTAGGATGTCTGCACAAGATACAACTCCAGGACATACGTTCTCCACAGCAGATTTTGCCTGATCAATGACTTCAAAACCTCTTACAGAGTTGTCGTTTTGAGTTACAAACTTTTCACTTGTGATTGAAGGGGAATTGTCTAGTAAGATTGAGGCATCACAACCCTGATTAAAGGCATACAAGAGACTCCATTAAATAATTGAAAACCATGCATATATTTAATAATATGGAATTTAAACAACATTATAATTTGTTTAATATAGGTATATACACATGCTAAACATGTACCTGAACAAAGCAATCATGGAAATGAAGGCGGATTAGAGATGCAGCCATTCTACGTTCTCGTGCGATGGCGGATCTGATGGATGTGCGAATAGTGCTAAGTGCGTTTGGGCATGTGTTAGCATAAAATGTAGGAGAAAGCTGCGCCTGGCATGCGCTGCAGCTCAAAAGCAGCAGCATCACCATAGTAGCAGCTCTAACCACAGCTGTTACCATTTTTCTATTCACTCAAGAAAACGAAAGCTAGCTAATTAGTTCAAAAAGAGGTAGAGTTAATACACAACTTAGATAGAGAAAATGAGAAGAAAGGCTGATGACAAATGGAGCTTGCGGTTCACTTCTATATATAGAGTTTTTTTTTTGAAGGGTTAGAGTTTGTCTTGGTCACTGGTTTCTGCTATACTTCGGCGGTAACGAATTTTCAATTTTGGAGTGGCGCTGACATATGACGAATATGACCCTTTCGTATTTGGCTTGCATGGCGTTACAGTTGGACGAGAAAAGTTTCTTTAAGATGATCGTTATAATAATCAAATGTAATAAAAGTCGTTATTGGTGTTCGGTCAGCAATTTTGGCTTTGTACAACTCAATTGTAATCTCAAAAATGGTCAACCAATGAACTTTTAGCCACTTTTTCATCCAGGCATCTTTGTAAAAGAGATTTGCCTGGCCTAGCCTTGCTCTCCGTCTGGTGTTGGCAGCCCACGTTTCTCTTAAAGATGGCATCCTAAGTGTTGAAAAATATGAAGATGCTAATAAATTTTGATTAGTAAAAGGGAAAGGAATATACAGTAGTTTACTTGTGTTGGCCAAACTCTGTAGTGAAGTACTGAGCTTGATGTCTTTTTTAAGGTTTTAGTGGAAATAACACGACTCTTGCTTGTTTTCATCCTTTTTATCAGCCAAATTCTTCACGAGTTTTTGGTACATTTCAAGGAGTTATTAAATAGGTTACTCGCAGCACATTAACTATAAGCTCAATCCATAGTTACATAAGTTGTCAAAATTTTATTATATTTTTTACAAAAAATTATCAAATAATCTAGTTTTTAGATTTCACAAGGTTACCAAAATTACACATTTCTATTAGGTCATATTGAAAAAAGTAGATAAATGTTGTAAAATTTAAAAAAAAAAAAACTTTACTAATAGTATATCAATAAATTTTTTTATATTTGAAATAGTCATAAATTAAACTTTGATTATTAAAATTAAAAATTCAATATTTTATTAAAGTCCATCACATTAATTACAAGCTCAATCCATCAAGTTACGTAAGTTATCCTTAACATTATTTCATTTTCTGTTGGTCTTTATAATTAATTTTCTTCGTGTAAATTCAATGTGCCATTCCCTTAATTTCTTCAATAATCGAGCTAAGTTTTCTTATAAAAGTCCTACTAAAATAATAATTTAGAACAGTTGATACGGAAGGGTAGTGACCCTTTCACCTTTTAGGAGTTAGGACTTGGTGTGCTTATCCCCTTTTGCAAAATCGTCCCCACAATTTAAGAAGATGCCGCGGTTTCTCCACTTTCTTCTTGTACCGTGTTGCGTTAAAGATTTGAGACCAAGCCTCTAGGTTGCACCCACGCATACTGTTTGGGTAAGTAGGTCGGGTTAGGTTGGAGTTCGGTAGTTTTGGATTGCGGCATGAATTGAAATGAAATGAAATGTTGGGTTTTATTCCCACTCCGATCATTTTAAAATTTAAGTCATTTTTTATTTGGATTTTCATTCATTTTCAAGCTTTAACTCTCCAATTAGTTTGTTTATGTGACAGTTACACGCTCAAAGCTTAGAGGACTTCTATTCAGATTTGTATATAAAATTGGGAAAATTTTCTAATAAAAAAACAATGCTTCGATGATAAGTTTTTTATTTCTACAATTCTGGTAATTGATTTAAAGAAAAAAAAAAAACTTCAAAATTTGTGTAGTTTTAGGTCATTTTTATAAGGATTTATATACTATTTGCATTTTTTAATCAAATTAAAATTTTAATAGAATTTATATAAAATTTTGTTTGGTATTTCAGCTTTCAATCAATGTCAAGTTCTAAATTGTTGGTTTTTAAAATTAAATTAAGTTAGAAACGATCTTGAATTTATTTTGCTTGCTCTAGCTCTCTAGTAATGTACCCTCGTCATCTAATAACTTTCAAATTAATACCATTAATTACCAAAAGAGTAATGGAAATTTCTTTACAAAAGCTTCATTTTTTTATAAAAAAGATCATAGTTTAAAAATAAATAAATAAATTATAACTATTAAGATTTAAACTTATTAAATATCACTTAAAAATAGTTATATAAAATAATTCAATTAAACAAAAGTTTTTCTCCAAAATAAAAAGGGTATGTGCAAAATATATAGACAATAATGTCTCAATATACAGCAATATACACGAAGAGTTATTTTATTCAATTAAACCAACTATATATACATATATATATATATATATATATATTACCAGGGTGAGGAAGAAAACCATTACAAAGAACTTTACACTTGAATGAATAAAAAGAGAAATGAAACAAACATGATCAACAATTGATCAGATAGATCACACAAGAGCAGAAGCATCAAACTAATTAACACAGGTGCAAATCCTCCTTATTACTATCCCAGCTGAACCTGTTAGAGGTTCAATATCTCCCATTTGGTTCATGGCAGTAGCAAAAGCAGACTTGAGAGTGAAAGGATTCCTACTATATATGTTATCTGTGGATCAGGTTCTTGAAATAGTATTTGCTGTCAAAGGAATTGGGCGTTACCATCTATAATTTACTTGAAATGACGTTAATTTGAGGTCGTCGTCTAAATCACTATTTTCTGCGATGTTGTGCTAGCAATGTTCAATTTTGGAGCCGCAGACATTATTATCTTCTTTTTATAATCATCAGATTATGACCCATTCGCAATTGGCTTTCATGGATTAAAAAAGTACTTTGACTTTGAAATTCCGAACTTTTAAATAACGTTATTATACACAAAGGTCAGAGATTAACTTTTCACTGACTTTGGCGTTTTCTATATAATTGGGGACGAAAAATTTGCTGGTAATAATATAATAAGTAAACTGTTATTATTCAGTTGATCAAAAAATAATTTACTTATAGGACAGTACACAAATAAACAAAAAATTGGCTACTACTTTACAGTTGAAATAATTAAAGGAATAAATAAATAATTAAAAGAAAAAAAAGGAAACAATCAACCAAACAAAGGTGCAGATGCATCAACTAGTTGACAGCACTACAAATCCTCCTTATTATCCCAGCAGAACCTGTTAGAGGTTCAATGTCTCCCATTTTGATCATGGCAGTTGCAAAATCAGACTTGAAAGTAGAAGGGTTTCTGCTGTATTCTGAGACTATGTTATCTGTAGATCCACCGCTAAAAAGGACTTGATCTGACTCCAAAAGACCCTTCTTTTGCATTAGGTTCTTGAAGTAGTTGTTGTCAAAGGAATTGGGCGTAACCAGATCAAGTGCTGCCAAATTGCCATCGCCATTGCCAAAAGTGGCTGGGCAACGGCGCCTGCGTGTGCTAGCAAATCCAGCATCGATGTCACTTGCATTGTTGTATATCCTGTTCCTGAATGTAACGCATTGAGCTTGTCCTATGGTATGGGAACCTGCAAAATGGATAAGCGCTCATTGGTCAATGACAAGGAAAATGAAGTCTGATCAGAGGATTTCTTAATTTTAAATAATCTCTTCACAAACCTGACAAAGCAACCATGTCTCTTGCACTAAGCCCCTTGCTTCCAAAGAGATCGATAAGGCTTCGAAGGCTGGCTGTGAAAAGAGGAAGTTGACTGGCAGCCAAACTTACGCTTGCAGTGGTAGAATCTCTTCTCCCAAGCTTCACTGTCCAAGATGGGCCACCTACCTGAATGTTTCAAGAGAGTTAGTTAAAAGGGTGAATTATTCAATAAATATGGGGAACTAGATGACAAGTTAAGGAAGATTTTGGTGTTCAGCTACTCACGTATTCGGATGCATCCCTGGCTGCAACTGCAAGAATGTCTGCACAAGATACAACTCCAGGACATATCTTCTCCACATCAGATTTTGCCTTGTCAATGACTTCGTAACCTCTTGCAGAGTCTTTATTTTGCAGTGCATTCTTTTCACTTTTGATTAAGGGGGCATCGTCTAGTAAGATTGAGGCATCACATCCCTATAAACCCCTCCGGAGAGAATTCATTAAGATCATCTCGTGCATAGATATGTTGTTGGTATAGATATCTAGGTGTAATTACAAAATTAAAACGACAATGAATTGTTGCAAAATTACCTGAACAAAGCAATCATGGAAATGAAGGCGAATTAGAGATGCAGCCATTCTACGCTCTCTTGCAATGGCGGTTCTGATGGCCGTGCGAATGGTACTCAGTGCATTGGGGCATTTATTTTCATAAAATGTAGAAGAAAGCTGTGCCTGGCATGCACTGCTAAAAAGCAACACCATCACCACAACAGCAGCTCTACTTGCTAACAATGACAAAGAATTTCTAACCATCGTTGCCATTTTTTATGTTCTTTCACGTAAAATATGCTTTGATTTGCTAACAAGCAGGGTTGAGAAAATGAGAAGAAAGGATACGATGAGTGAGAGCATGTTCAAATTCTTCAATTTATAGGGCAGTTTACAATGGTTGGTGTTCGTCTGGGTCACTATTTTCCGCGATAGCGCGTTGCCAAATGCCAATGTTCAATTTTTGGAGCCGCCGACATTATTATTATATAATAATAAATTCTCCCAAGCCAGCTACGACCCATTCTCATTTTGCCTGCTTGGCATTCGAGTAAACAAAGTTTGACTTTGAAATTCCGAATATTTAAGCGCGATTCTACTCATAAAACAGTGAGGCTGCCATTAAATTTATGAAACGCTTTGGCCTTCTCTATATAATTGAGAGTTTATTTGTCCCGAATAAAGAACAAAGTAAATAATACTATACTATACGGTATGTCAAATGGCTTTTTCGAACTACTTATGGACCCACGGGCATCCATTGAAATTGTAGTTGCGTCTATTACTGGCGTTGGTGATAGCAGGATAGTTGCCAATGATCGGAACATGACTATTTTACCAAATCCAACAATTTTTTTTAACGGTAAATGAAAATATTTATTAAATTTTTTTGACGGCAGCGAGACATATTCTCATCACGTTATAATATTAGTTTATAATTAAATAATTTAAATTTCTAAAAATTCAATTATAAAATATAACTGCGACGTCATAAAATTTTTTCTCGTCATGTCAAAACAACTCTAAATATATAATAAAAAAATTAGAATAAATTAAAAATGAATTCAAATGATTTTCAATTTTGCATCATCTAAATTTTGGTCATTTCAAGTTGAATCAACGTCTCAGATCAGATTTGTTTAGATCTAAGTTTTCTTGAGTTGTTTTAGGAGATCATATCAAATTTTAGTAAGTTTTTTTGTCATTTCAAGATTAGATTTTTGTTAGGTAAAAGTTATTAACAATAATTATTATTTAAAAAATTCTAATATAGTAGTATAAAATATTATATTTCAACAAATTAAAAATTATTTTATCGACTTTAAGTAAATTATTAAATTTTACAAACAAAAATAATAAAAATGATCTATACTCTTTAAAATTTATTAAAAAATAAATAAAAATTACATCAAATTCTTAATCTCACTGATAAAATTAAAAATTTTACTTATAATGGATTAAAAAACCGTACTCAATTTTCAAAGCATTCAACCAAAAAATATTAGATTTAATCCTTTTAAAAAGGGAAGCCCTAAAGGGAATGGTTAGCTTTTGACTTGGAGGCACATGGAATACTTCGCATATGGGCCATCTTTAAAAACGGGAGCTCTAAAGGCAATGGTTAGCTTTTGACTTGGGGGCACAAGGAATACTTGGCATATGCGCCATCTTTAAAAACGGGAGCCCTAAAGGCAATGGTTAGCTTTTGACTTGGGGGCACAAGGAATACTTGGCATATGCGCCATCTTTTGACGGTGATAAATATAATCCTTGTCACGCGAGGATATGCATTTTTAGCCAACTTTAACTTTTTTTTTATTTTTTATTTTGCTAAAATCAACTTTAGAAGAGCATTTAATATAGGATGATATGTTTAAAATTTATGATAATCTATATTCAACAATTATATCACTTTATTTTATAATAATTTAAAAATTTTAGTGACAGTAATCTTAAATCACTAAGATTATTATCTTTATGAGTGATCTAATTATTTATATAAAAAATAAAAAAATTTTATCGAAAGTAATTTTTAATATTATTTTTGAGTAATTTATCCTCACAAAAAATATTATTAACATTATCTTAAGAAGCTTACTATTAAATTTTTAAAAAACTAATTTTTTAATCATTTATTTAAAAAATGTTTTATTTATAAATTTATATTGATTAGAAAAAGATAATGAATTTATTTTTTTAAAATTATTTTTATTAAAATTGATTTATATTTTGTTATTTTCTATAAAATAAAGTTTAATTATTTTATAAATTATTGATTTAATAAGTATTAAATATTTTACTTTTTTAAAGATTATTTTAGATATTTTATATTATATGATTTATTTTTTCATATAATACCAAATACAATAATTTATAATATTATATCAAATATTGTAATTAAAATTATTGGCGATCAAATTACTTTGTAATCTTATTATTATGGTAATTAAACCACTGTGGTAATCTTGAAAATGAATTAACATTAGTTTTATTACCTATTTTTTTATTTGGTAGAATCTCAATATTTAGCTAGCTATTCCCATGTACTCCTTTTTACCAAAGTGACAATGGCAAAAAAAAATTAATTAATCTTTTTGTTTAATTGTATTTGTGTCCCTTTTTTTTTATTAAACGAGTTTTTATCATTGTTTTTTGAAATATAAAATCAAATTTTCAAAAAATATGTTTTGAAAATTTTAAATTTACAATTTTCAAATCCTATTTTCATGAGTGTCATTACTCAATACTTTGACAATGATGGTAAGGTCCGTAAAATCTAAAAATTTCATAATTTTCAGTTTCCTTCTTATTTCTAAGCATAGAAGAAAAAACACGATTTACATTTTTACATTAAGTTATCAATTTTAAAATAAAAATTGATTGTTTTTTAAATTTTTATAAAGAAAAGTTAAATTCATCCCTTTAAAGTATTTAAATAATACTTATTTATTATGAATTAATAATTTAGTGATTATAATTGATTCACGTCAAGATTGTAACTTTGAAATTTAGAACTCTACAAATGAAAGAAAGCTTTTCGTTAGAGTGGGGGCATTAACAAAAAGGAGAGGACGGCTATGCTCACTTTTTCAGTTTTCTTAGTCTAAAAGGAATAATTTGTTAAACATTTAAAAATCTAAATTGCCACCAATATTCCAGCTGTATACTCAATGGTGTTTTTTTCTTGAGTATGCAGCCTTTTTTACAATAAAATTTAGAGTCAGTGAAGGCTTCTTTATTTTAATATTAAGGTAGATTGTATATTTAATAAAGTTTTAAGTTAAATATTCAAACCTAATATTCTATTAGAAGATATGCAGCTTTGAGTATTATGATTTTCATCAATTTTCAAGAAAATCTTAGCCAAATTAACAAGAAACATAGCCACGCCTGCGTTATATCCTAGAGTTTCAAATACACCAGGCGGCCTGATTATTATGATTTCATTATTGAATAATGGCAAAGATAAGCTTGAAAAATATCCGTCCAAATGTGAGACAATAAATTTTTATTTCCTTTAAATTCAGATTCAGAAAAATGAAAGAGTAAGAGAATTACGTTGACTTCATTTTTTATAAGGAAAAGAAAATAATTATTTCATGCGACATAATTAAACATTACAGAGACAGAAACTGATACATGTATAAAAAAGATTTCTTCCTACACAATATGTCGGTCGGAGATATCTTATTCTTTCAATTCCCAAGCAGGCAAGCACACACAAAAAAGGGACTTCAAGGACAATAAAACAATAGAGTATTGATGATCATAAATATGGTTAACAGTGTTTAGTGCAGAAGCATCGGCGACGAAAGCCTCGGCAATGTCCTCCGTGGAAACCCTCCGTCTGACAAACGGCAGCACAGTTACTCTTCCTCAAGCACGTACCCTTGAAGCGATGGCTCTGAGACTCGCATGTTCTACCCTCCGCTGGCATAGGCCCTATCTCTGCTTTGACACAGTCGCATAACAAAAGCATGCAAAACCCTTACTTTACTACTTTGCAAATTGCAATGCATAACAACGATACGGAATATTTCGATCAAAGCGTTTCTGTGAAGTAATCTAAAAATTGAAAACTTTTAGTGCAGGAATCAATAAAACACATAGAAATGTGTTTTATCATCGATCCAACCCATTGAAACTACAGGTTACTCAATTTTAAACGCATAGAAATGAGGCCACAGCCCACAGGCATCCCTTGGCTATCTGGTTAGTTTCATACCAAGTTAAAAACGATCGTGCCTATGTTACTTGGGAGAGTGATTAAGTGAATGTCTGATACACATATACTTTCGACACAGTACGTTCAACTTTTCCTACTAGTTCTTTACATTTGAAAATTCTTGTTTGCATGTCCATGTTCATGTCCATGTCCGTAGAAATGTGTGATCAAATATGAATACTTTATGAAAAACGAAGAAATTAAAAAGGATAAAGAAAAAAAAACCTGTTGCCACAAGAAGCAGCAGAAGAACGAAAGCAGCTGAAAATACACGAATGAACGGCTCCATGAATTGAACACAATTGACAGAGCGAGAGAGAGTTATTAGTTTTGGATGTGAGGAAAGCAAAGCATTGCGAAGCCTTTATGTAGGGGTTTAGAGTGGAGCGGTACTCGAAAAAAGGGACGAACTCACATGTTGTTTCCAGAGTGATCGATGGCGAAAAAGGGGAAAAAGCAAAAAAAAAAAAGGAGATCTCAGATCAGATTCCATCCTTTTGCATCAGAACTACTCAGCCCGCACTATCCCTATATGCATATTTTTTTCGCTTCTTCTAATTTAATTTGGCAACATTTTAATTGATTTACTCCTTTCTAACTTCCAGAAATGTACATGGGTCGGGTTAAATCCAATTAACATTTCAAAATTCTAAATTTGAACTCTGCCAGGCCCTTTTGTTTTATATTTACTATTAAAATATTAAAAATTATATATTAACATTTTATTATTTTAAATAGATTCTAAATTAAAATTAAATAAAAATATATTATTTATTAATCTAATAATGTCCTCCAGCTTTGTGGGTAGCTCAGCCCATGGACATTTCCATTTTTTTTATATCTATCCACCCTTGGTTCATCATTTCTATGTATATTTCCTTGTGATTAAAGAGAAATTTTGATGAGCTTCGAAGATTTTTCTTTGGGGAAAAGAAAATAGCAGAAGTAAATTGGTTAAGAATTTGTTGTTCTAAGAAGGCTGGAAGACTTGGGATTACTGATAATTCAATCAAAATATTTTGCTCTTCTTATTAAATGATAGATTTGGTAATTTAAAATATAATATGAAAATAATACCAATAAAAAATACAAAAATAAAATAATTTAAAATTTTAATTATATCATAAATAGATTCAATAAAACAAAATTATATATTTTATATTTTTGTATCGATACAAATTAAGATACGTAATTTTTATATAAAATATTATATGAATATATAAATTATCAATATTTTACACTTCATAAATATACAAATTATTAAGCCTACTAAATGCTAACTTTTTAAAATATGATAATGGAACCTTGAATTTTTAAAATATTTAAAATTAAAATATGCTTATCCATAATTGAAGATGCTAACTCGTAAGCCCATTTTGGTTAAGACCCAAAAGATAACATATCACATAGATGAGTACATGGAGCTAGCCCATAGCCGACCAGAATGTGCCTACCCAACGATATATTTGGCACATAAATACGTGAATAGTAGATAGAAGGCCACAGCCTCATGCAGCAATATTAGATCGAAAACCTAACTCAAACTCTATCTCTCTCTCTCATTTCTGTTGTATACACTGTAGCAGTCATTAATGGCAGGAAAAAGCAAAGTAGGAACATAAATTTTTATTCAGAAAAGAAAAACAAATAATTATAGTACCCACAAGCACTTAGAAAAGAAGCATATAAAATCTACAGTGCATGCCGTGATTTTCAAAATTAAATACGCTCTCTCCAATAAAGTAACGTTATAGTAATAATTAATTAAAAACCTAGCTAGAATTAACGAATAAAAATAGTTAATAAATCACAAAATATAATTTTTTTCAGTACTAGCTACTAAATCAGTGTGCCAATATTATATTTTTATATATCAAGAAAAGAATTGAGCAGAGTCTAAAAATAATTAATTGAGTACGTAAAATTTTACTAGTAATAAAGTTCGACTTTGAGATTGTAAACCCCGAAGCCGATTCCAGTTCCACATATTTCACGTTTGATCATAATGAGTGGCAATAAGGGACTGAATTGCACCAGATAAGTTGGTCATGGCAGCAACAAGATCATTAATTCCTTTCTGGTTCACTTCGTTTCGAGTTTCTTCAACTTGAAGTCGACGTTGTTCAAGTTCCATCACTTCTTGGTGTCGTTTCTCTTTCTTCTCCTCGCAGCTTTTAAGGGTTTGGGCCAAAACTGAAGCACTACGCATTATGCTTGAACCAAGTTTCCTAACTTTTTTTCGTTTGGTCTCTGAATCCAGATTTTCAGTACTCGATTCTGTCTCTAAAGAATCCGACTCTTCTATTAATGCACAGTGTAAACGAGAATGACATAATTAGGCATCGCTTTTCATCAACTCATTGCTAGCTAATAGTTTTTTCGAGGAAAATCATTAAAAAAATTACAAATTTAATTCAATTCATTTGTATAGTCCATCTTAAAAGATATGATATATATATATTTTGTGACAATGAAGGAAAGATCAATAAATGGGTACCCTGAGGTCTTAAAGGTTTCTGCAAATGATGGGCCAGCATCTGCAGAAACTCATGACCGTAATATAATGCCACAAGCTTTGGTCCACCCCCAAACTAAAAAAAAAAAGGGTAACATGGCCTAGAAATTAAGAGTGCACTTAATTTTCCCTTCAAATAAGTAATTAACTCATCTAAAAGTTAGAGAAAATGAATCCCAAAAACAAAAAGGTTTGGGTCTATGCCGTTAGGATGATTTCCCATCCTATAAATCTATGGCAGCTCTCTGTTTAAGTGCCCAAAATCACCCTACAATCATGAATGCAGCCCTCAAACACTGGCGTGCATGATTGCTTTGGTCTTTGGTCTCACACATCCCATTCTATACATTATTACCAGGTAAAAACCCATGTGACGGTTAATATTAAAAACGTATGAGAATCCAACGGTTATTACTTTAAGCTCAAATAAAGACTATACAATTGAATGTAACTTATGAAAAGAATGGGGTCCCTAATAAATGAAAAGGAGCAGAGTTTTCAACCCTGCAAGTTTGACCAAATATAAAATATGACTATAATAAATATAATCGCTGAAAGACAAAAAAAATGAAAAAGTTTCTCATTTGTGACTCTGACACGTTACTACTACTATGCTACATCCCAAGCCCAAGCACTGCAAAACTAAAAAATAAAAATTCAAATACAGTACCTGGAATTGTTACCGGAGCTTCAATCTCCGGTGCCTGTTGATCTGTTCTGACAGGTAGTTGCTCTGATGATTGAGAAACCGAAGGTTGCTGAGGTTGTTGTTGTTGTTGCTGCTGCTGCTGTTGTTGTTGTTGTTGTTGATGTTGGTGGGTGTTGTATTTTGTTTGAAGGACGTCGTTAAGGGCTTCGAAGACTTCAAGAGACATGTTTGTAGGCAAGTTATGGAGCTTACGTTGGTGTCTTTCCATGGACCAGTAAGAGGGGAGGTGATGATCAGAGGGTTGGGATTGGGATGATTGGTACTGTCGGACCTTTTTGTAGTCACGGAGGAGGTTATCCCACTTGTCGTTACATTGGTTTTGGCTACGGCAACAGCCATGATCCCAGCAATAGTTTTCGACCCATTTCCACCTTAGTTCTCCAGGTTTTGAAGGTGAGCTTGTGGAAGGTTTGGCACGGCGTTCATCGTCTAGTCTTTTGGCTGTGATGAGGGTTAGAGTTTCTTGGATTGTCCAGTTTCCTTTGCGGTACTCACGGTTGTTTGTTGTAGTGAGGGTGGTTGTTGCGGTGATGTACGGTGGTTGATGGTGGAGGCTTGAAGGTAAGGGTGATGTTGGTGGTGGTGGTGGAGGGTTGGACATGGTTTAAGCATGAGAGGTGGGGAAGGGGAATTGTGTAAGTAGAGTTTGGGTGGCTTTGTTGGTTTGTGATACAGAGAGGGGGCAATTTTTTTAGTTTTTTATTTTTATTTTTTTGCTTTAGAGTATTTTAAAATGAAAATTGTCTGTTTTTTAATTTAAAATAAATAAAAATTTTAGTATGGAAAAAAAATTAATTCTTTAATAATTCAATATAGTTTAATTAAAATCATAGAGGTGATGCTCGGTATTTAATTCATAGGAAAGTTATAATTCAATTTTAAACATAAACAAATTGTTCAATATTTAAACTAAGAATCACGTCACAATTTTCTTTTGCCTTCAAATCATCAAATTTTAAAACTTTGATTGAAATTTATTAAGCTTCTAGCTAGCTGCTAAACATTAAAATTGATCCTAAAAAAATCCAAACATATAAGGAAAAAAAATGAGAAGAATTGATTATTAATGATAGAAAAACTTATATAATAAAAGATTTTTCTTTTAAATTATCACTTATATGATAAAATTACAATCCTACTTAAATATTACAGAAAATCATTGAATAATCAATTAATAAATTATGATATAATTAGATAAATTTAATCTAAAATTAAACTAAATTTACATAAAATAAAACTTAAACATAAAATCTCAAAATTTTAAAGCTTTTTCATTGTCACTACAATAAGACCTCATTGGTAATAAAAGATTATAATTAAATTGATAGAGAAAAAATGAATAAGCATGATTTTGAATTTAAAAATATTATAAAACAAATTAATTAAATTTAATAGCTACATTTTGTTTAAATATATAGTATTTGGAAAGATATAATCTTTTATTCTATTTGGACTTTGATTTTTTGGTAAGTTAAAATTTAGATATTTTAAAATTTAAATATAAAATATTTGACATTTTATTTAAATTTGAATGCATTATCTTAAATGTCATAAAAAAATTATTAAACATAGAAATATTTATGTCAGTATACTTTATTCGATAATTTTAAACCTTATAATATTATATGTATGTGATATATATATATATGTATGTATATGATATGATTATAAAAATTTACATATTTTTTAAAAAATATTTACTAAATTACTTTCAATTGGATGGTAAAAAAAAATACTCTATGATATAAGTTACATGTTATATACATATATAAATTATACAAATTAAATATACATAAGTTACATGTTATATATAAATTGATTTAAATAAACTGTTTATAAGTTAAATAAATAAATTATTTATTTATTTATTTTATAAATATTACGTGTTATTCATGTGTCATTAAGAATAATATAATAAAAAAATTAATTAGATAATTTTGGATTACTTAAATCAAACACAAAAATCATGCTTCCCTTAAGATTAACAAAACACATGAATCATTTATTTTCTTTGAATATTACTTTTTTTTTTCGAAATTATTTTTCCTTCTAAAACCTAAGAATTTGCGTACAGAACACCTTCTAAATGCATTTAGAATCATCATAAAAGATATTTACTGTTAGTAGTCTAAATTTCCTTTAAAAGAAGTATTAGTAATCTTAAAGAAAATATTACAATAATAAGAATTTGAGATTTTTGTACTAAAGTATGAATCATATCCAAATTATTTGAGGCGAAATCGTGAAAGTTATGAGATATGTGAATGAAAAATAATTATTATTTCTTATCTTGTAATTCAAAATAATATTATTATATATCTAAATAAAATTTATTATTAACAACTCGAATAAAATTATTAGTGCAAATAAAATGGATTTAATAGTAGAGAGGAAGTTTTAGAATATTGAGATTTTAAATTCAAAGTTTTACTGTATATATGAGTTTGATTATTTAATTAAGTTATAATTTATTAATTAATTATTTAATTGATTATATAAATATAATATTTGATTATGAATATAATTAAAAAAAAACTATTTATAGAATAGTTAAAAGAAAAAAATTAAATAAAATTACACTCCGTCCGTCCTATACTTTCTCTGTCCTATAATGTGAGCTCTCAATTGATTTTCACAGAGTTACTAAAAATATAAAATAAAAAAGATAGTAATATTATACTAATATAGTATACTATTATATATATAATATTAAATAGAATAGACTAATAGAATATAGATAATATATAAAATAGAAATTAAAATAAAATATATAATATAGAGATAAATAATAAATAATTATAAATATATTAATAATTTAATTTTACAAATTTATAATTTAATTTTATAATTATAATAAGAAAGCTTTATGATTTTTAAAAATTTTTTTATAAAATTGAAGTTCTATAATTTTTATTGATAAAAAAAGGATAAAAAATAATTTTAGAATATAAAAATATTTAAGTGTTAAAAAATATATAATTTTAAGACATTAAAAAAATAGCAAACAAAATGAGAGGGATATGGTAATAAAAAAAATGAAAAAACAAAGTTAGATCTTTTTCTTTACTTTCGAAGTCGTTTTGATTTGGAGTACATTTTTAACAGTTTCATTTCCTCCTTCGCTCCACAAAATATTGAGCAGAATTTAATATTACAATCCATTTAGATCTGTCCCGTCGCAGCTGGAAGATTCAACCATCGGGAGCCCCTCAATCAGCTCCCAAATGAACCCTATATCATACTATTACTAGTGATTGAGTTAGTTTTATTTTTATGAGAGAAAACAGCATTTCCCTTTCCTTATCAGCTTTGATTGACATCTTCACTTCTCTCCTCCCAATCCTGTTTCCCTCGAGAGGGGCAGCCGAGGGATTGCGTGGGAGCTTTCTTTACTTTCTTTGGTTGCCCCCACACGTTTTGGGAAAGGACCACCAACACTTCCAACCCCCCACATTGTAGTGGGCTCCCTCCCCCCCTTTTGCTCTGCCATATCATATATATTTTTTTCCTCTTCTTTTCTCTTTGTTTTCACCCGCCCAAAAAGGTTGGAAGTTTTCTTTTTTCCTTTGGAGAAATCCAGTTAAGTTGCTTCAACCCCATATCAGTATCATATGGATGTTAAAAGCTACCTCCCTTGCTTACTAGATAACACCAACATAATACAAGTAAATCTTTATATATATATATATATATATATATATATACTATATATATAAACACGTTCTAGCAAACTAACTATGCATCACCATACTTTGATTTACATGTTGAGCAAAAGAAGGGTTTATTTTCTTGTCCATGAAACAAAAGTCTGAGTCTGACCCACGTACATAAACAGTATACAGATAAAAGATGGTTGAAGTGAATGGATACGAAAATCCCTTGACTTTATCGATTGACTATATCGATGAGGCCTAGTCCATCTGCCTTAACACCATCCACAAGATTTCAGTTTTTGGGAGAATATTGGTGGCAGAAGAAGTGGCACTGGGTATGCAGCTTATGGGTCTGATTTTTGAAAGAAAAAAACAAACTGCAATAAGTGTTAAAAGACATGATTGAGTATATACACATAATAAAGTTGGTGGTTCCTTAATCCCAAGCCCCCTATCATCGCAAATAAACTTCTTTGAAGAGCCAACACAAAGCAACAAACAGGGATATAAGAGTTTGTAAACCAAAATCTTCAACGGTAGGTTGGTTGAAGAAACTTGAAAACCAGTGTCGACTTCACAGTGTTCATTCCCATGCAACCGAGATCATAGAATTGGCGAGCTCTGATTCTGCAAAAGTTAATTTACTATCATAATCCAAAGTTTTTGAGGCTCCAGGAATCGGCTGGGTTAAGCGGAATGGCTTTGATTCAGCTTCACCAAGTTGAGAATAGCAAAATGACCACAGTAGCTGCAAAATGACAAAAAGCAATGAGAGAAGTATATAAACCCGTCAGTTAGGACAGTCCTGAGGACAGGACACTAGTCCATCACTCTGCCCAAGGAAACAAAACACATTTTTGTCCCAAATTTTCAAAGTTAAATCTAATGGTCCCTACTCCCTGCTCCCAAAAAGTGATAACATGAAATATCCATTTTAAACATGAATATCAGTTTAAGCTGGTATAGATATCAGTCAAAGCAACACCTCAATGCTCTTAACTTGGTTCGGATGTACAGGGTTAAATTTATTACTTTGGAAAAGAAAGAACAAGGAGTAGAGGGGGAAGAAATCTGGGGAAAGATTAGTTCAAATGATTCATCGATGCCTACTGTTTATCCCATGATTTCATTATCTTAGTCATGGGCAACAACATTAACAAATCAGTTTCACACATTTTGATAGTGTGCCTACTTACAACAAGCATCCAAAGGGAATATAGTTTACCATACAAATTCTTTGCTCAGACTGGGATCATCCAAGAATATCCATAGTTACATAGAACAAGCCAAATTCAAATATATAAATGATAATAAATCACAGTAAACGAAAGAGAAACATAAGCTCCCCAAAATATGCTCACCTGTATTGGATCAGTGCGAAGAAAATTTCTCTGTACCCTACGTCCATCAGGAAGACGGACTCCAACCCTACATAAGAGGTTCCTATCACCCTTAGGTTCTTCAGGCAAAGGTGGATACATAGGCTGCTTAGTCGAGCATGGTTCCTCCTTGTCAGCAGTGGATAAAACTTTATCATCTGAAGTTGTTTTAATAGCGTCTTTCACGTTCTCCATAGAAGCTGCTATTGCTCTTATCATTTCCTCATCTTCATTGGTTTCATCTGTTGACACTGAAGCAAATGAACTTAAATTACACACAGAACATACAGATGAATCAAGACATTTTTGTAAAACAGCATATGTGATAGTGGATCGATTTTTCAATGTCCTTTTCTTTATCCGCTAATGCAGTATCATATAGAGAAGTAACAATTAAAGAAAGCAATCTATCCCTCCCTCTTGAAAGCTTCGCTGAAAATTTCTATTTATTTCATCAAAATCTGGTCAACCTAGATTTACTTGCTTTCTTGCAACAGATCTCAGTATCTTAAGAAAACCAAATCCAGGCTGAAAAAAGTAGCACACACCGTACACAGGAATTCCATTTACCTGTTTATCGGTTCTCTACCGGTAAACTTTAAATTGGCATAGGAAAGAAAGATATATGATTACCTTTAATTTTTTGTTGTGGTGTAACTGAGCTTCCTCTTGGACGTTTATGAGAGAGAGTTGCATGATAATCCCTAGGGCCACCATCCATGAATTGTACCAGGTCCTACAGTTTAAAATACACAAAAGCTATATGTTGAAAACCATCTCCAACTACTATAAATAACTATGAAGTTTTAACAGCTTTCTTTTAAAAGTATTTCATTTTCATTTTTGCTTATTTTCCTAGGGAATTGCTATTTGCAATTTATGTTGCCAATATATACCTCCAGCAAACTCTCGGGTTGAACCATACCACACCAGGAACGCATTTTCTGTCCTGTGATTGGGTCAATAACGAGCACTACAGGAATTGAATCTAGCCTGTAATAGGTACAAACTTTCCTGCCTTCACTTGAATCTTCATATACCTATATCCATAGAACAGAATCAATCAAATGAAGCATACAAGGAAACAAGATACAGATTCAAAGAGTATAATGATATAGAGATCTGCTACGGATATATATGCCAGTCAGTGCTTATGAAGCTGCAGCACCTAAGATATACACAATAAAATTAAGTTGTTGTCTTCAAGGACTTTTTTTATTTTTACATCCACATTTGCTAATTAAAATTGCAGTATCATACCAATTCCTGTTTAAAAAAAAAAAGAAAAAAAAGAAAAACAAAAGAAAATACAAAATGACTGCATTTAGAACACATTGACAACTGATCTTTATATATCTCCTTTTCTTATCAAAACACACTGAGACTATAATCTATATTATATAAGAATCTTGTAAATCTAAGCACAATCAAATGGCAAACAACATTCCTAAAGATGCAATAGCATCTGTCAAGAAAAGAAATTAAAGCTAAAGAAATAGAATATGGTCTAAGATTAACAGTCTATGAAGAGAACAGGCAAACAAGGGAAAGGAAACAAATTCATCATACTAACCTGCCAGAAAATAAAGTTGGTGCTAATGGTTTGAGAAACTGCTTCATTTCCCCATGTATCTCGATTAAGCTTCAAAAACACAAGCAACATCATGAAAATAGATTACTTTTTAAGCTACGTCAAACCTAAAGAACAAAGTAACTACTTCATAGGTTTAACTAGAGCAAATAGAGAAGATTCAAACAATACCATATGTGAGCTGAACTCCTTGGTAGATTGCAAGTTCACAAGAAGCCACTTGTCCTCAACAGATGCAGTAGCTTTTGCCTGAAACATAGACATATAGCTTTTGGTTAAATGGACTTTAAAAATTAAGGAGAAAAATAATAGAAAAGGCAGTCTTAAAACCCAAATTTCCTCACCCAGTATTAACTGCTGAAGTATTATTTTTGTTTATTTTCAAAACAAGGTTCTATGTAATGGCTAGTCTTGTGCTATGCACTACGAGGTCGAACAAGGGAGATCATCACTTAAAAGGTGAGGAAAATGTTTTCAGTTTGATATACAGGGCAGATAAAAGAGAAAGTGGGGCAGGCAGGGGCTCTTAATGAGATCCATTTAGCCAATAAAATTACGTTATCAGAAGAAAGTTTTTTTCTTTCTTTCCACTACTTGCACTTCAGTCAGTTTATACACTTTAAAATCTTCAAGGATTCAATATTTTGTGATACTTATATCATCATACTTCTCATAAAAAAATAAAAGTAAAACTTAATGATTCTGATTGCATTCATTCAACAATAACAGAAATGTATAAATCATATAGAAAAGAAACTGTTAAGAAAACCAATATACCTTTTCAAATGGTCCCAGGAGCATCAGATGATGAGGAGGACGATATAAAGAGGCAAGACTATCTCGAGGAGCATCTACTGTGGAAGAAGAGCCTTCATCTGATTCCCAAACCCCGGGGCGTTTCATTTCCTCATCAAAATTACGGAATGCAATTACCGAACTCGACTGTTGGGGAGGATATCCCAACCTTGATGATCTGGATGAAAATTAGAAAATGAAATTTTACCACATGATGAACTGTTAGGAAAATGCAGAAGAATATATCTCCAAATCATACAACACTTAAACACAATATAAGCATGCATGCAAGAATGGCAGACACACAAAAAGGGATGACAAAAAAGAAAAATCAAAGCAGGCCTTTGCCACTTCACATAAAGAAAAGAAAATAAAATACCACTAAAACCAGCAAGCTATTAATAATATAAAGCAGAAAGACCAAACATACCCATATAGCAATGCATCATCATAAAGTGTCTCCCTTACTACAGGCAAAGGAGGGCGTACTTCCTCTCCATCGATGGATCCAACATTATTATTTCCAGACTCCTTCAACTCCCTGACAATATAAGCCAATGACAGAAACTACATCAAAAAATATTAAAACAAACTATTAGGTGATCATTTAGAGTAAAAATTAATGCAAATATCTAACCCAGAAATTTGATCGACCCAAGAATCCACGTGTTCCACTGCTGGAGACTCTGAAGCCGATGCAGCTACACCACCTTCATTACCAACATAAAACAGCTGAATAGCTTCATCAAGCTTCCAACTTGTAGCCTGTTCTCCACAAATATTCCACAATTAAGTTCCATATGAAATAAACAAAAATAGTCACCTTGGAAATAAACAAATTACCAAAGACAAAGGATTCCCAGTAACTCAACATTTATTAACAGATTGCCTCAGCATTACCCATTGAATCCCAAACCCATTAAGAATCTAAGATCAAAATAGTAAACCCAATCCAGCAACTACTGAATCTTAACTAATCCTAAAAATTCTTCAGTCAAAAACATAAAAATCCAAGATTTTCAGTTAAAACCCAGAAACCAAAACTAGCATAAAATGGAAAAAAAATCACAAAATTTGACATTGTGGAAAACCTTGAATATTCAAAAAGCTTCAAACTTTAAGATATAAATGCAAAAAACAGAGTGAGAGAAGAAAAGGGTACTTGCAAAAACTGCATGGCGGTTTCGGCAGTTTGACCAACGGCGATCTCGAGAAAGGAGGAGACCATGCTCTGCTTATCACTCGCGGACAATATTCCCTCCATGTGGCCCCCTTGTTTTCGTTCCTCAATTTCCCAATCAAATTCCCAAATCCAAAGCCCTAGATAGATAAATTCAGCTCAATTTCGCAGAAAAAGAGATAAAGGGAGAGTGTGTCAGCAAATTTTTAGGGTTTCATTACGAGGATTTACTGATATTTATAGATTTACACCCCAAACGCTGTTAGGAGAAGGAAAACCAAAGGACAAAGGGGCTTTTTTATGTTTTTAAATCAATAATCATTTATCTATTTTATTTCAATTTTTGGGTCCGTGTCCTCATTGAAGAGAGATCTAATTTATGAATCCGCCTATTTTCTCCTCACACCCAAATTTTTTAAATTTTTTTTATAATAAAAGTTATTTAATTATCTTTTTCTCTTAAATAAATTTTTAAAAATTCATTTTTAAAAATTCAGAATTACCTAAAAATATTTTAATATAAAATTTTACAAAATTTAATACGAAATTAAACAAAAAAAATAATTTACCTCTAATTTTATATATATTTTATTTTTAAAAAGTAAAATTTTTAAATGTTTTTTTACCTTAAAAAACTTCAAATTATTTGTTTTTTCTTTTTTTATTACGTATTTAATTTCATATGAATTTATGTTAAAATGTTTTTGTACATTTCAGAACTTTCAAAAATATATTTTCAAAAAGTAAAAATAACTTTTAAAATTTTATAAAAATATATTTTTAAAAATGTATTTTTTAAAAAATAATTAAATAATTTTACTTACAAAACTTTTAAAAAAAAAATTGAGGTGTGAAAAAAAAAAAATAGGATGCATTTAGCAATACTCCTTAATTATAATTTGAGAATGAAATTACTAATTTATTTTGCTCAACTGACGGATTCAAGTGCTCAAGATGGTGAGATTAATGGCTAAATAATTATATATTTGTCCTTGTTCGATTTGTTTATATTGAATTGGGATAAAATATTTATTATTTATAACAAATTTAAATAAAATATTGATAATATTATTAAATATTCACAAATATAATATTTTTAAATTTTAATAAATATCGAACTTATATCTAAATTTGTTACTCATTTATATATATACATATAAAATTTTATATTTATAAAAGATTTTAAATCTTAAAAAATAATTTTAATTTGTTATTAATTAAAAATAAATTCAAATTTTAAATTAATTTTTTTTATTTTATATTTTAATAAAAAATTTAAATAAAGGAATCCGAATATTTAAATAATAGTGTTTTAAATAATAAATGGCAAGAGTATTTTTATAAACAATAATAAGGATCCAAAAGCAATATTACGAATTCCCCTTAAAATATCAGATAAAAAATATTTTGATCAAATTGATCTGATTTTCGAATTCGGATTGAAATTTATTTTCCCAAGTTTGTTTGTTAATGTAAATATTTTTTTAATTTAAAATAATATAATATAGATATTTCCTTACAAAAAAGCCGAAAATTTCCCCAAACCAACAGATTCAAGACCCGCACTTTCTCGGTCTCGCTTTGCAGTGAGTCCCCCATTCTGACTTTTGCTTCTATTTCGTTCGATTCGTTTGAAAAAAAAAAAAAGGGTACAAATGGCCGCTTTAACTCTCCGCTTTCTGTCTCTTTCTGTTTCTTCTCCTCTGTCCTGTCTTTACTTTCACTTCTCTTTAAAAGGTTGGGTCCTCTTTCGTCACCACTCACCCACACCTCGGTCTCTTCCTTCACTGCTTCTCTCGCTTCTTTTTTCCACACCAAACCCAAAAATAGTGAAACAAAAAAAAAAAGAAAGAAAAAATAAATTAAAAGGAATTCTTTTTTTTTTAAATTGAAATTAAAATGAAGCGCGTTTTCGACGAAATTTCAGACGAAGAATGGGAGAACCATTCTTTCAAGCCTTCTCGTGTTTTAAAGAAAAACCCTAACCCTCGTCCAATTGAATCTTTCGCTTTCAATTCCCAAACTCACGCTAGTTTTTCTTACCAAAGCAGCGACGATTGCGTCGAAGTCGAACAATTGGTGGACGACTCCAACTTGGATGACCACGATGTTGAAGCCGAGGATACCGCCGGGCCTGTCAACCGTGCTCGTCGGTTCGTGGTTGATGATGACGACGACAAGGAAGATGATGAAAAGGACTGCGGTGAAAATGGTTGTGAGAAGGTGTATGATGTTGAGTCGAGTGAAGAGGAGGAAGTGCAAGAGGATGACGTGGTAGGGAAGGCGTTGCAGAAGTGTGCGAAAATATCGACTGAGCTTCGGAAGGAGCTCTACGGGAGTTCCGGCGCTTCTTGTGAACGATACGCCGAAGTAGAATCTTCTTCTGTGAGAATCGTTACACAGGTATTTTTTATTTAAAAAAACTGAAAGCACTGTATTTTTCCGTTTGGTTACTGAGAAAAATGAGGCAGGGAAGGCCTTGATCACTTGAATTTTAATTCTTTTAATTAGAAAAGAGCTCTATGAAATTGCTAAACTTTGCCGCAAGGTCAGGTGATCTGAATTTGGTGAATATTTGCGATAATGCTTTTTGTCTAAGCTTTAGTTTAATGAAAATCACCACAATACTTGTAAATTGATGGTGCTTGAAATTTCATTTTTATGTTCATTTTAGGGGATCCAGTTGTTTTCAGATATTACATAAGGGAAATTGGGGAATGTTTGAATGCATTATCTTTTCTACATTAACTTTTTGTTTTCAAATAGGCTTTTTTATAAATCGGCATATCTCTTACTCTTGCAGAATGATATTGATGTAGCATGTGGGGTGGTGGATTCGGATTTTCAGCCAATTCTCAAGCCATATCAACTGGTTGGTGTGAACTTTCTTCTTCTTTTGCATCGTAAGGGTATTGGAGGAGGTACTTGTTCTAATCTTTTGACTCCCATGTTCTGTTATATATGGACTTATATTGCTCAGTTTTTCAATTATTGATGTGGGTTCCAAATAAGAAATTGTAATTGTTGCTGGGGATTTGATAAGCATATGAGAAGCAATATCTAATAGAAATAATATGAGAAGCAATAACAAACGTTTTCCGTAAACCTCAATGCTCATTCCTAAGTGCCTTTATTTGCCTAGATTCTCATGTATAGTTGGAGATTGTTAATCATGATTGGGTGATTAAAAGTTAAGATGAAGAAAAAAACATAAAATTCACAACTATGGCTGGTGTTCTGAATTTTTGTGTTGCATAATAACTGCATTGACCTTTGTCAATCACTTTCCTGAAATGCGTCAATAACTTTTGTAGGAAAGGGAGGAGAAGGAAAAGAGAAGAATCTTGAGTAATAGGGCTTTCTGGAATAGATAATATTAAGGTTTTATACTCTCAACTTTAAGAGAATGGTATTGAACTTGTGTAGTTTAAGAAAGCCCACAAAGAGGATCCATTGCGGTTCATGCTTGTATCAATTAGTTTCCAATTTGATAAAAAAATTCTGACAAGAATTTGGCAAGGTTGGGTCTTATTGCTGCATCTGATGTTGAATCGACCAAACAGGGATTTTTTTTTTTTTTTTGCTTTCTGTTGCCATATATTGATGTTAATACTAAAGTAATCTGGCCTTCTGATTTTCTTATTGGCTTATTAGTATGGTACATGTACATCAATACTTTTTTGCTGCTACAGTCTCTATTAGTTGTTGATGCCTCTTTGTCTAGATATTTCTCTCATGGTTTTGGATGCTTATTGTTGGATCATTGTTGATCTGATCCAATTCTTCACTTATTTGAAACTCCATCATCGAGCTAATTTATTATTGTTATTTATTTTTCAAATTCTTGCCCCATTTTATTCGGTGCTGCCTCTTGGGGCAGTCATGTGACTAAGATATATATGTATGAAAATATTTGTCCACATAGTTTGTAACTTAAGTCTCTAAGTGTATATTTGTCTATGTTTTAGATCATTTCTATAGTTTGTAAGGACTGCTTACAATTTTTTTGTCTATTTGCAGCTATATTGGCAGATGAGATGGGTCTTGGAAAAACCATTCAGGTACCTGAAGTCTAATTTGTTTCCCTAGATAATCCTGTATGTATTTCATTTTTATCAGACTAAATTTCTTTTCTCCACAGGCTATTACATATCTAACTTTGCTGAAACATCTGAAAAATGATCCTGGTCCTCATTTAATAGTTTGTCCTGCCTCACTTTTGGAAAACTGGGAAAGAGAACTTAAGAAGTGGTGCCCATCATTTTCTGTACTTCAGTATCATGGTGCTGGCCGAGCAGCTTACTCAAAAAAGTTGAGCTATTTGTCCAAAGCTGGATTACCACCTCCATTTAATGTCCTTCTTGTGTGTTATTCACTTTTTGAAAGACACAGGTAAAATTTGTTGGTAACTGAGTTTTTATGTTTATGTTCTATTTTGTTTGTTTTGTACAAGTTTGTGTGTATTTGGCTTTTTTATTAGTGGTTTCTATAGCGTGCAGCAGAAGGATGATCGTAAAATTCTGAAACGTTGGCATTGGAGCTGTGTGCTAATGGATGAGGCCCATGCTTTAAAGGACAAGAACAGCTTTAGGTGGAAAAATCTAATGTCAGTTGCTCGAAATGCAAACCAACGTCTTATGCTAACAGGCACACCACTGCAAAATGATTTACATGTACTATTACCTTTTTCTCCGCCCTAAAATAATTCTAGAATCGGAAATAATTTTGAATAATGGTTGCTGAGCATTGTGGTCTTATGGTGCGACTTGTGAGTCATATGGTTCACAGTTACTGGGAAAAGTTAAGTTTTGTGCTGAAGCATGGAATTTTATCAATTAAAAACCAGTCTTGATGAGCTCTATTTTGTCAAAGATAACCGAAATTTAGTAAGGGAAAAAAGAAGAGTGCAAAGTGTGCATTATGACAACTGTATTTCAACTCAATGGATCATGCATTGAATTTCTGAATTAGATAAAAAAAGTCTTTTGTACCTTAATCATTCATATATATTTTTTTGCTGTTAATGGAATCTCTATTTTTGTAAAAAATACATCTCCTGTTATCATAAAAGCTTCTGATAAGTTTTTTTTTTTGGTCACAATAAAATGGTGGTGGTATCAAAAGCATTAGAAGATATTTTTGTTCAATATGCTTCTGAGTCTTCTACATGTTATATTGTTGTTGCTAAGTGGATAGGTTTTTGTTGCAGGAGCTGTGGTCATTGTTAGAGTTCATGATGCCTGATCTTTTTGCCACTGAGGATGTAGACTTGAAGAAGCTACTAAATGCAGAAGATAGAGAGTTGATCGGTCGTATGAAGTCCATTTTGGGACCATTCGTCTTGAGGCGCTTGAAATCAGATGTGATGCAGCAACTCGTCCCAAAGATACAACGGGTAGATGCTTTCTTACTCTTAGATTTTTAATCAGATATTGAGTTTTGTTTTCTTAGGGACTTTGATTTGAAAATTCCTGTCTAGCATTAACTGTTTCAGTATTCTAGGAGCTAAGTATCACTTCTGCAGGTTGAGTATGTAATTATGGAAAAGCAACAAGAAGATGCTTATAGGGAAGCCATAGAGGAGTATCGTACAATTTCACGAGCACGCTTAGCAAAGTTTTCAGAGTCTGACATGAATAATATTGTTGGAATTCTTCCTCAACGTCAGATCTCAAATTATTTTGTTCAGTTTCGAAAGGTTGCTTCATTTATATTCCTTATTTTTCCCTTGTCGTGCAGTTGATTTCAGAAAGGGTCCCCTGGTGCTTAAACCTAATATCTTTGTTTTGAACTTCTCCAGATTGCAAATCACCCATTATTAGTGAGGCGAATTTATAATGATGAGGATGTTGTTCGCTTTGCTAAAAGGTTACATTCAATGGGTGTTTTTGAATGTACCTTGGTCAGAGTAATTGAGGAACTAAAGAATTACAATGACTTCTCTATTCATCGGGTAATTCTTACCAAGAAGAATTTTCCTTTTCCTCTTCAAGACTTCAGACTTGCTATGATTATTATTTGTTATTTGCATTTTTTTTTCTTTGATTGTGTTCGTTTCTTAGTTCTTTTTCACAAAATGGGGTTCATTCAACATTTACATCTAACTGAAACTTTTATGAGTGATGAAGACATTAGCTGGTGGAGACATATTTGAAATATTTTAGAATAGGAAAAGGAAATATTTGTGAAAGTTGAAAAAGAGGATAGATTAGGATTAACAAGAGAGACTGTTAAGTGCTAGAAAAGGATTAGAATATCTGTGAATTATGAGTGTTGGGGGTTGGTTGGCAGTTGCTCTCCCTTCTATTATAATGTTCCCTACTCAGTTTCCCCAGTCAACATGAAGACTCTATAATATAGTTTTCTTTTCTGCAATAGTTCCCTTAGTATTAAACATATTTTAAGTTGTTTTGTAGTATAACATTACTTCCAGATTGATTCAACCCCAAATTTTAAGTTCTGAGGTGAGTGCTTGAATTTGTGTTTAAATGCCAACATGTTCTTGGCCCATCATTGACCTTATGTTTAAACCGAGATGAGGAATCTCAGGATTTGAATAGTATTTAACTAGTCAGCCTAACAACTTAATTTGCTATGTGAGTGCTCAAAGATGTGTTTTTAATCCTTGACAATTTCAACAATAGTGTAGACTAACATCGTTTTCTGTCATACATGTTCTAGAGGTGGCTCTGCTGTATGTTCATTTTAGAGTTATATGGTCTTCCTATTTGGGTCCTCTTTTATCCTTTGAGGCTTAAGGTTGAAGCATGTTAGGTAATATGATGTTGTGGAATGGATTAATTACCAAATCCTTAGGTTGATGGATGGTGCCTTGTGATATTCACCACAGCCAAGTTTGGTTATCCGTATATATGTTATAATGTTCAGTGTGCTAATACCTACTTATTTGTCGAAGATAATGGGGAGTATAGTTCTAATTACAGCACAGTTAAACGAGTTAAACTTAGAAATGAAATACATACCCTATTTGTGGAGCTTTGTTTTGGATGGCTTTTTTCGTTACAAATTCAATGAAGTACTAGTTAGAATTGATGTTGTGTTCATTTCAATTCTGATCAGACCCTAATGAATCCAATAAACTACAAAATTATCGCTTTATTGATACCATATCCAAATGTTATTAATACACAATTTTGCTCTTTTAAACCTTACTAATTTTGATACCCTATGATAGCTCAGTAATTTGAAGATCCCAATGGATATCAGGTATCTAATATAGAGACTATTTTTGGTTCTTTCAGCCTGCTCCCTTTCTTTAGCATTAAGTGCATAGGGTATTAAATGCCACTCTCAGTTATGCTATATTTTCATTTGAATATGCCTTTTTTTAATCTAGATATTAAGGTAAATGCAAGCGTGATTGTTCATATTTGAACTTATCTTTCCCAGTAGCATGTTAATCCATTTCAACTGTGACAAGTGGATCAGAAAACTGCCGTGCATACCTTTGTGTATACAATTACCATTTATTCTTCTCTGCATAATGACTAGGGTGTAACTGCAAGTTTATGTGGAGAATGCTTTTTGCAATTTTAAATCTAATTGTGACAAAAATCATAAATTCGTTCTGTTCTGGTTCTGGCATTCATATATTTGTTAAACATCATTAATACAGCTTTTACTTCGCTATGAAATTAGTGGTGGTAAAGGAACTCTTTCTGACGAATATGTTATGCTTTCAGCTAAATGCCAGGTATTTTTTATTTCTTCTCTCTCTCTCTCTCTCCCCCCCCCCCCCTAACTGTTATTCATTAGTTACAATTGAGTGTGCTTTTCTGTTGGTGCAGGCATTAGCAGAGCTTCTCCCTTCACTCAAGAGAAGTGGGCATCGAGTTCTGATTTTTAGCCAGTGGACATCAATGCTTGATATCTTAGAGTGGACTTTAGATGTGATTGGGGTTACGTATAGGCGGCTTGATGGAAGGTATTGCTTTACATTCTGCTTTGTTAGACTTTTCTTTTTCCTTCTTATGGGGGAAAAGGTTTGGGTTTTCTTTTAAGAGGCTGGTTCTAGGTGTCTACCATGAGGTTAACTGATATAGGACTTTTAGTTGGCAATTTTACTTGTAGACAATGCTGGTGTTCCAGTTTTTTTTCTTTAATTCTCTTTTACTTCAGCTGAGCTTTAAATATATCTTACTTTGCAGTACTCAGGTGACTGATAGGCAGACTATAGTTGATGATTTCAATAATGACACTTCTATATTTGCATGCTTGTTGTCCACGAGAGCTGGAGGACAGGGTTTGAACTTGACAGGAGCTGATACTGTAGTTATTCACGATATGGATTTTAATCCACAGATTGACCGACAGGCTGAAGATCGTTGCCATCGAATTGGCCAAACTAGGCCAGTTACCATATACAGGTGCTTGAAAACACCCTTCCTTTCGCTTTTCTTTTTTCCCTGTCTCCCTATTTCATCTCCTTCTCGTCTCTCTTGAGCACATTGTGATGTTCCAGATGCAAATTTTACATAATTTAGTGAATATGCTCAAATTATTGGCAGGCTGGTTACCAAAGGTACTGTTGATGAGAACGTTTATGAGATTGCGAAAAGGAAGTTGACTCTGGATGCTGCAGTGCTAGAGTCTGGCATGGATGTAGAGAATGAAGGTGACACATCTGAGAAAACAATGGGACAGATACTGGCATCCCTACTGATGAGCTAGAACTAAGAGAGTATGTGATAGATTTTTGCTTTTTTTTTTTAATGTACTTTAGCTGATTCTTTGTATGTAACACCCATTGTTGTATTTAAAGAGAAAATTATATTGATCTATTAGTTAGGGTCATTTGATAGAAAATTAACCTTTATAATTGTTAGGGCATGCCTTACATGGGTAGTAATTACCCAACATCAATGTAGCAGAAAATCAGTGAGAAAATTATTAGCAGAAGAGACCAGTGACTTTTTGGTGCCTATAAAACTAAAAGTGTCAAAACCCCACCCCGTGAATGGTTAAATCTTCCATCCTTTCCCTGAAGGGAGATTAATAGATTGTGATCTTTTATTTGGTGTATTAAAGAGTTGCTATTATTATCTTAGAAACCTTTTACTTGGTGAAGGTGGATTTATATCAGTTTTCATTATATAGGTTGCTTAAAAAGTTGAACAAATTTTAGCAGTTGGCAGGTTGGGAAATTTATGGTAAGCAATCAAGTTGCATTGGAGCCTAGGGAATTTGGATTTGCAGATGGTAAAGTTCTAGTTACTATTCTGATATATTTTTCTTTCAAGTTTATTTTGTTTGGAGGATGGAAAAGTCGAGTGAAAGCAAATTACTAGGGCAATGACTCTAACATCCCACGTGATTTTTTCATGTCTAAACAGTATCTAGTTCAATTTACATTTTATGCCTTTAAATCGTGTAGTTTGGCACATAGCGAGCTTGGGTAGGGGTGGGATCTGATTCGAGGAACTAGGGAGGGAATATTTAAGGGATAGGGACAGACGATAGTCCCCCCTGTGGGGGGTTGGAGGTGGGGCAGGGCTACGGGCCACCCCAGTTTAGGACGTCCTACAACTATTACTGCCCATCTACCTCACCAGATTCCGGTTGCCATCTCCATGCACCGTACGACCATATCTATACCAAGATATTTCATTTCTCTTTTATGTGTTTCTTTTCAAGTCATGTGATAGCTTTTTTTTTTTTTCCCTTTTTAGCAACATATGATAGCTTAATGTTTCTTTTTTTTTAATCTTATTATTATGTGATTTTGAATTATATAATGTTAACTACTAATTTTAGTTTTATGAATTTGTTGGTAACAAATTCTTTGTACTAAAAACTATCTCATATATAATAATGGGATGGGAAACCAAATAATCTTTTCGTACATAACTCATGTTATCCCCCTGCCTCTTCCATCTCACATATTATTATCCCTCTGTATATATACTCTTTTATAGATATTAAATAAAGGGGATAAACCTCTTCCATTGTTTTTTCGAATTTAAATTTGAGATTTTTGTCATATTCTTAGGTTGTATTTGGATCAGTTGTCATGTTAATATTGGAGTTGAGGGTTCAAGAAAAAAATGTGTTATGTCTTTTTCAGCAATGAAAGTATGAGAATAGGGGATTAATTAGAAATTTAAAAAAATCTAATATGTATTTTATTTTTATATTATTAGTAATATTTATATATTTTTATAAATACAATGATATTCATATTGTATATTTTATTTATATATATTTTTAATATCATTATTTTTCTATATTATTATTTTATATCATTAAATTCTAATATATTAAATTTTTTGTAAAAAAATATTTATCCAAACAAAATAATTACATATGCTAACATTTTAAAATACTGTCATTCCAAAATTTTTAAAAATTTTTAAGTTCTATGTCCAAACCCAATCTTGAGATTTATTCTTCTCATTTTGACAGAAAGAAAATTGTAATGGTTTGAACTAATGGTCCATATATACTCCATAGTTGAATGCATGAGCAGAAATTAATACATCAAAATAAGTTGCTTTTTTATAGTATATATTTTGGATTACCAAAACCTTTATAATTAAAAAAAATATTATTTGATATACTAATTCTAAATTTTTTTTTAATTTTACAAGCAAGATTAAGATGATAATAAATAGTTTATTTTTTTAAAATTAGTTTTATATTTTTTTAAATATATGTTAAAAGACATATTATCATTTTAATTTCATTTCTGAAATTTAAGCACTTCTTATAATTGCGTCGTCAATCAAGGAAAACCATGGGAAAAACATGCAAAAGTTGGAATGTCATTTTGATCATAATTCCATTATTTCTAATTAGATATTTTTTGCATCACCCATCTAAACGACAATCTTTCCTTCTGTTTCTCTCTCTCTCTCTCTCTCTGTCGTTAGAGAATCTTTCCTACGGTTTTGGTGATGATCGATGAAGATTTGGCTGCCCGTGAGCCCTCTCCTCTTCACACATAGAATAAGGAGATTTTCTTGTTTCTTGTTGTTTTGCTCATAACAAACAGTACTCCCACTCCCCACTCCCTGCAAAAGGAAAGAGAGGGTTTGGGTTTCTTCTTTTTATTTTTTTTCATTTGTGTGTGCTCTTGGAAGCACGGCCTTCCCCTTCCCTTTTCCCCTTAACAAGAGGCCGCTCAGGGTCTTTCTCGCAGTGGTTGTTAAAACATGTTTCAGCTTTAATGCTTAAATCCAAGAGATAACCACAGTAGAAAAAAGGGGACCCGACACCAAGTGTCCTTCCAATGTCACCATCGTCTCATATGCATCAATGCATGCAAATCACATGTTTCTGTGTTTTCATTTGCTATCTCTTTCTCTCGTCCTGCATTCTTGTTTCTAGTCTATGTCCACTTCACATTTGCTTATTGCAATTTCACTTTTCAAAAACAATGACAAAACCAAATATTCCATGCACATCGCTCTTTTTTTTTTTTTCTTTTTTGTAAAGAAAAAACATATATAGAAAAATGCGATAAAAGCCAATATTACTCTTATAAAGGCCATTAGTGAAAATGATCAAATTACATTCACTGCCTGCAAGCTTTTTTGAAGTAGACGACTGTTAATGGTGTCAGTGAAAGGTTTCCAAGTTCAAAAATGGGCAATTGTGTGCTCCGTTGTTCTTGAAGTTCTCAAAGGGTATATGCATGGATTCTTTTGCAGATGAGTATTGTACTTTCGCCACTTTGACAGAGAAAAATAGAAAAGAGTTAAATTTGTTGGTTTTACCTTTTATATATGCTACTAAAATATTACATGAGTCGAATTCTACAGTCCAAATTATACTGTGGGTTATCCTTCCTTCTAAGATTCCCTCTTCAAATTTTTTTTTTTTTTCGTAGGATGGAAGGCCAGATTCTTTTGTATCTCATCTTGTTGTTGATGAATGAAATTAATCATTTACCCAAAAAAAAATGCAATAAAAGTTTAAGATATTTTGCCACCTAATTGTTTGACTTAAACCCGTTTTGAATTTGATATTGGTGGCCTGGTGGAAAAGCTTGGGTTGGCAAAAGCACCTCTCAATGTATTTAATGGTGGGAGAAAAATCATGGTCAAAAAGTGTTGTTACAAACCAAACTAGACGATGTTTGTCAATATGTTGGCTATCAAAAGCTGCTCTGTGACAACCTAATGTAATGCTAAACTCACTTTTAATAGAATAATTATTTCTTGTTGTTAAAAAAAAGCATAATTTATTATTTCTTTTTCAATAAGTTGAACTCAAATTTCTTATTTTTTAAATCAAAAAAATGTTGTAGATGTTAATAATAATAAAATTATGCTATATTTGCTGCTATGTATTAATGGGCTAGGGTTTATTTTTTAGTGTAAAATGGGCCAATCTTATTGTTGATTTTATGACATGTCCAAAATGATTTAATTCAACATTAGATATTTCTAGGACAACTTTAATAAATAGGTATCATGATTATTTATCCATATCATACTTAAGAAAAAGTTGCAACCACTAATTATATACCAAGTTATTCTTATTCGATTATTAAATATATGCTATTTTATATATGAGATTATTATATTTTAAATTTTGATTATTGAAATTTAACGCTATGTTTGGATTGAGGGGAGAGAAAAGAGGTGGAAACTAAATAACTTTTGATTTCATTTGTAATCTTTACTTTTTTAATGTCCCAATTTGAGAGAAAAGTTAAGAAAAAAAAGTTGAAAAAATTTTATTTTTGTAAAAAGATTATTATATTAATATTTTTATTATGATATTAGATTTAATTATATAACTGACACTTCTTGTAAAAATAATTTTTTATGAGTATTTTATACAACATCACAGTTTATAAATATTTTATGATTTTTTAAGTCTTAACAACAAAACAAACTAAATTATTATTAGAATAAATTAAAAGACTGAATTAAATACAAAATTAAGAGTAAATCAATAATTAACTAATACATCGTACCATATTAAACATGCTCAATTTTATTTAAAAAGACTAGTTTAAACAAGCTAGGTAATATAAAGATATATTTTTATATTATATGTTATTTTATAAAAAAAAGGGTTCTAATTAAAAAAATTATTATAATGAATTATTTTCTTTATTTTTCACTATTTATCCAAATAATGATTTTTAGAATTTCTTTTATTTCTTTTATTATTTTTAACTATCCAAATAAGGGGTACATATATTCTTTTTTTTCTTTTAAAAACCATTACTTTCTTTCCTTTTCCTTTTCTTTCTTTTCCTTTATTTATATGTATCCAAACATAGGTAAATTTTACTCTTTATCATCAATCTACACAACTATTGGCTAAATATATACGAGTAATTCCTTTATTAATTATATATATTACTCGAAATTAATGTCAAAATGAGTTGAGAATTCTAAGAATATATATATTACTCTTATCATCACGTCTAGTAAAAGTAAAATTGTAAGATGAGGGACCTATATTTTAATCAATTTTATTTGTAATTCTTGCACTTTCCTAACAATTTCCCTCTAACTTTAATTTATATACATGAAACAAATACAGCCTAAGAGAGGTTACTTTTAAAAGACATACTTCAAAAAAAAAAATTAATTAGCTAGCTACGTACGCTAGCTAAAATTATGCTTGCAAGATATAAATTCTGAACAAAATTTGACAGTGATGGGCAGTTACTGTGAATTTGCTAAAGATTCAAAAGTTTGAAGATTTTAGAAAAAATGGAGGTTATAGAAATTCAAAATTTTGAAGAAAGCAGCTAATATTGGCGTAAGAAATTGAAGTTTCAAGCATTGAGAAAGGCCAACAAATTAAGGCACACAGCCACACTTCAACCTTAATTATCAATTAAGTAAATAAGTTTTGAAAGTAAAAGGGCACCAATTAGCTTTAATTAGAACCATTTTCATTAAAACAAAAATAATTAAAAAGAGAACATACGATTTAATTTAATTGATTCATATAATCACTTTTAAAAAATATTATTAGTATGTTTATTCAATTTCCAATTCTTACAATCTTTTCTTTTATTTTCAAAACACAACCTTCTTTATAAAAAAAATAATTGAAAAAAAAAATCCATTTGATTCATGAAAAATAAGTTGGAGAAAACTAAGAATAGAATAGAATTAATCTAGTATTATTTTCACATTTTATACAAACTAAAGGGCCTTATCTAAATATCAAAAGACGGGGAGCTGTCGCCTTGTCTGGTGGCTCAAAATGAAAATTTTATAGTTTCTAATTGGGTTGTTAAATAATGCAATTTGGGCCTAGGCTTTAGGCTATGAACGGAAAATGCTTAAATTTTAAACATGCACCTTTAAAAGAAGATTTAAGAGGAAAGGAGAGTTATTGGGGTTTTCAATATCTCAATATTGTAATAAATATGTTGCATTCTCCAAAATACAAGTAAGAAAAAATATAATATTATTTTGAATAATGTAATCTAGGGTGGAAAGTCAAATATATATATATATATGTATATAGAATAGCTATTGATGAATTGGCTTAGGTGCATGAACCTAGAATTTATGTCTTTTTTTTAGGGAAAATCCTATACACTTTGAGATTGAATCTTAACTTTTCAATATATCATAGACAATTAATTTCAGTTCTTTTATTATTAAAAAAATAATCAAAAAATTTGTTGATAGAATTTTTAAGTTTAATGATCAAAATTTAAATTATGATAATTTTAAATAAAAATTTGATGAATAGTAAACTAACATGCCCTAT